GAGCCAAATCCAGAAGGATCATTTGTTGGCTGTACAAGCATTGCACAGAATTTGCCCACAAATACAGCTGAATCTATATCTGCCAAAAGAAATGAGATATAATACAAGATATTATCTGGTCTATTAGTCAAAAGTATAGCCCTCCAGAGGACTATGACAATATCTGCCTTCTAAGTCTGCTTAGAAACATTAAACATTAAAGGGAGCTAGTATAAATGCCCTATGCTGCCTAAGAGTGGTTAAATAGGTAAATGTCTGTCCAGTTGGAAAAGATTAAAAAATCCACCAGGATAAATGTTATCTGTTACTTTAGCCAAGTCCAGTTGGTGGGCACAATTAAAAATTCTTTGTCCAATGCTTTGTTTTAACTTCTTAAAATTCTGGAGGTAGGTGTATTAGGTGAAAATTCATGTGAAGCTTACTGGACAGATAATTATTTACTAAGGTAAAAAGCACCAGGTCCCTGGAAAGAAATTTAGCTTAAGCCAATAGTTGATCAATAAGGATGAAGCTTAGGCTCCAACCTTGATCAGACCTACTTCAAGTCAGAGTACTGAGTTAGGCACTTGAAGTTATTGAAACATGGCTTGGAGGAATTCTAATTGCACCTTTTCCAGTTTAATTCAATTACAATAAGAATGGACTAGAGAGATGTATAGCAGTTGGGCTAGAACTTTGCGGTACTGTAGCTGATGAATTTCTGCAACAATCATTTACTTTTTCTTGTGTTCCCCATGAACCTTTGCCCAGAAGATTCTTCCCTTTTGTAACTGGATACCTGATCGATACATTCCCATTTATTTGCCACTTATGACTCAAAAGCCTTTAGCAGAAACTGCCAAGGGACTCTTAATTTGTCAACCTTATAGGCAGTGTAAGTTTGTCAACTTTTTCTGCAGAAGAGATACAGTAGTATGAAGTCCAGCTGTCAATTCTGACATATAAGGTAAATTATTTGCTTTTGCACCTTAGGGGGGCATCTAAATTGATGAAGAGAGCATAGGCTAACCAAATTCTTCTGGGGATAAATATCTATGAAATATCTCAGTAGCAGTACCACAGTCTATCACTTTTTAGATGATTATTAATTACCAAGAAATTAATTACTTGGTAATTAATTACCAAGACAACATTAAGATTACATGAAATGAGAACATAATCTAAAACATTTCTTGTTTCCCCTTCCCAATGAGTAAACTACCCAGGAATGCCAACTTAAAGTGTACCATTAAGGATAAAACTGTCCATTAGTCAATAAGGGTAAACATTAGCCAACAAATTACATGCCCTAACTTTGGAACTCTGAGTCTCTAACAAGGGAGAATTATCACCTTTTGGTTACGATCAAATGTAGTATAAAATTCCTAAGGTAGTTTAAGTAACACAAACAAATGCAAAATAAAAATATTTGAGTAAACAAAATATAAGAACAGATAAAACAGAAATAAACGCATTGCTCTTTACAGAAATTCATATAGAAACGTGTTGCTTTTAGTTCTGCTGCAACATTGTGGAAGACTAGATATAAATTAATCTGCTCTTTCAGGAGAGGTTAGATTTTTAAAAAACAGCAAACTGGGTTAGTACAGTTTGTTATGTGTATTTAGTGACTGTGCTACGATAAAGGAAAATAATTCACGTGGGTGGGAAAGGACAGAACAAAAAGCTGTTCATAGACTTTGAACATGCTGATTACCTCTGTGTAGATATATTTTCCTTGCAATTCAAGATGAGGCTTTTGTTTAGGGTAACCCATGTTGACTACTCTGGTCTATCATGTTTCATGTCTAGTTTTATCTGAATTGGACTGAAATCGATTTTAAGAATCAGTCTTGCATTTGCTGTGAGGATACCCATATTTTTCAGCTACTGGATAAACTAAGTAATTTTTGATCTGGTTCTACATCCATGAGGACTTGTATCATTATATCTGCATGCTTAAATCATGGTTTGGCTTCCTAGAACATATATTGCAACTTAACATTTCATCTCACATAGAAATGCCATAGTGTTACAGCATCCCCTTATTTTTGAAATGTCAGTCAAAAGTTAACAACTGTGGTGCAGGATGGAGGTCATTATCCAGCCATTAAATAGTCCATTCAGCCTCAGTTTAATTTTATGCCATCTTCTGTCTCATTTCAAAATATCTTTGGAAGTAATCAAGTCTTGCAAAAACAATCTGTCTCTTCCCCCCGATTGCTTTGTGTGGAGAGAGAGAGACTTAAAAGACATGCCAGGAAAGGATTTGCTTTAGCTTTTAAAGTTATATATACTAATCTGTTTTACATTGGTGGTTTTATAGACATTGTGTGTGTGTGTGTCATGTTTACAGATGACACAAAGCCTCTCAATAAAGCTTCTAGTGTAAACGCAAGTTAAAACATCTTTTAAAACAACCACACCCCAACAAAACTTCTCTTACAAGACAGTATCACAGAACAGCTAGGCCTTTGAAAAGCTTGTAAGGAAGGGGGCTGATTGTCAATAGATTCCACAGTTATGGGTATTAAGCCATCCCCCACTTCTCTGTATCTTAGTGCACCCACAGTTATGCAGTGTAGTGACATGTAGGAGACAGAGGAAGGGCTGCTTTTGGGGAAAGGGGTTTGGTTATTTGAGGCCAATTCCTCTTCTAGTGTCCTCAATCCAAACAGCAGTTTACCAGAAGTTTGGAGCCCCTGGTATCCAGCTGTTGCTGTCGAATGCCAGGTTTGACTATAATAAAGCTTGCCTCATCTTGCATTCTCAAACTGTGGTGATCGAAGGCCACTGTCCCACGGACAATTGGATGTAAGGCTTTCCTGGTAAAGCTGCTCTCAGAATGCTGCTTTTGCCAATCCCAGGTCCTTGGGAAGGACTTGATAGGTGGATAAAAATGTCCAGTCCAGTCTAAACATCTGGCTGACTGTGTGACCAACAATAATAACCAATTAACTCTGTCTTTGTATGAAATGTGTTGAGATGCAGATAAATCATTTAGCTGAGTTTCCTTGGTTTAGTGGGAAAAGGCAGAACTGTAGCCTGCTACAGATTTTCCCAAGCTGTCTGCAAGAATTTTTGAGTAAATAAAGCAGTTCATTCTGACCATCACAGCAGAAGTTTGAAAAAGACATAGTACCTTATATAAGTTTGCAGATATATACTCAAGGATCTGGAAGATTTATTTGATCAAGACTGCCAGTGAGTCACCAGGTCCCCCCACCCCAATTTAATTTTATGCAATCTTTTTATTTTTGCTTTTATTGTTTCATCTGCCTCCAGATAGATTCATTGCTACTATAATTCCTATATCTGAATTTAAATGTTGCTTTACATGTAGATCATCAACTAGGCCCAGTTCTTCCATTATGCAAAGTGTAAAAGCTTTTTAAAGCTTTTTTTTTTTTTTAAAGGGGACGCAGTGGCTTAATGACGCTGAAAGTTGCCAGCCAGAAATAGTCGACACTTCAGTGGTTTGAGCCCAGCTCCGTGCAGCAGAGCGAGCTCCTGCTTCCTCCCCAGCTCCTGCCAACGTGGTTTGAGCCCAGCTCCGTGCAGCAGAGCGAGCTCCTGCTTCCTCCCCAGCTCCTGCCAACGTGGTTTGAGCCCAGCTCCGTGCAGCAGAGCGAGCTCCTGCTTCCTCCCCAGCTCCTGCCAACCCAGCAGCTCGAAAACATGTGAGTAGATAAATGGGTACTCTCACTCCGGTGGGAGAAAAAAATGCTGGCGGCACCTTGCAAAGGAGATGGGAGCAGTTGCCGGTAACACAGAAGCCGTACACGCCTGAAAAAGACGCGAAGCAACAGGAACCCTACCTCCTGCGCTTGCCAGCTTGGCTCTGCTCTTGGAAGGAGGCACTGGCAAAACACTACCGAAACA